TGGCGTGGCAGCGCGTGCATTTTATTTCAGGGCAGTTTTCGTCTCGTCCTCCGTCATTCCTCGTCCCTCCCGCACATGTTCGGCAAGACAAGCCAAGGACATGTAACGACATCCAAAGACCAGCAAACTACGGCCTCGATATTGCATCATAAAGCCAGTCAATGCCCCAAGCCTGTTCAGCGATCTCCTCGACGAACCCACAAGCCAAGACCTGCGCGTCGTGACAACGAAGAGGCAACCCTGGACGGCGCCATCGGGGCCACTAACACCTGCCCCCCCCACGAGAGCGCCTGAAAAGCCCAAAAGCCAGCCCAAGGGAGCCCTGCGACATCCCATAACCGGCCCACGACGGACACAACTCCTCTCCGATTGCGAGTCGCCTGGAAACCCCGACCTCCGTTTCATCACAGCGCCATGGGCTGGACTAGAACCTAAGCGCGCGCGAAGCGCGCGCGTGGTTCTAGTATGTATGTGTGTATATATATATATATATGTATACATATATATATATATATAATTCATAAACGGAGTAGACGGGGGGGTCCATAGCCTGGACCTGTACCATCCATGGGAGGACTGGGCCTTCGTGGGGCGTCCTCGGGGGCCAGGGGGGTCGCCGCGGGGCGAGCCCAAAAAGATCCCAGAGAGCCCCAAGACTGTCCAAATTGCTTCCAAGATGTCTCAAGAGCCTCCCAAGAGGACCCTCAAGATGGCCCCCAAAGGCGAACATCAACCATTGTCCTTTTTGGTTCTTTCCCCACATACTTAGTGGGTCTCTGGTTTCCTTCCCACCCGCGTCCCACCCGCGAATCTCACACGCCTCCCCTCCCTCTTCTCCAGCTCCCTCTCATCCCCACGCGCGCGCATCAGACACAAGACCGCACGGCCAGGGTCGGAATGTGTGGCAGGCGTGGCACATTCTCCACACCGCAGGGGGGTGCGAAGGGGGTGGGGTCGCTATGCGTGAAAGGGTCCCAGGGCGCGACAGACGTGGCATGTTCTCCACACCGCAGGGGGTGCGCAGGGGTTAGGGCCGCCATGCGTTCCATCCTTGACGCCAAAGAGGGTGCGCTGGGGGTGGAAGCGCTATCCGTTTCGGGCTCGCAAAGCGTGGTCGGCGTGGCACTTCTTCGACACCACAGGGGGTGCGCTGGGGGTGGGAGCGCTATCCGTTTCGGGCTCGCAAAGCGTGGTCGGCGTGGCACTTCCTCGACACCACAGGGGTGCGCTGGGGGTGGGAGCGCTAGCCGTTTCGGGCTTGCAATGCGTGGCAGGCGTGGCATTTTCTCGAGACCGCCTGGGGTATGCTGGGGTTGGGGGCGGTATCCATTGATCTTGTTGGTTGGTCTGGGTACTTTATGCGTCTTGGAACGACCTTTGAGCGCCTGTGATATGGTCTGGCTGGCTTGCTTGGTCTGGTTGGTCTGCTTGGCTGGCCTTGCTGTCTCGTCTGGTTGGAACAAATCACCGTGCCATATGAAACGCCGTCGCAAGACCTGAAACAAGTATGGGGGATTCCTCGGTGGCGTAATTCCCAACCATCCTTTGGTGTTGGGTCTTCGTTTTCCCTATGTCCTAAGATGGGGTTCTTATTGTTTCTCGGACGCCGCCGACTCCAGAGAGAACACACCTACTCATACACAGACTTACTCATACTCAGACCTACTCATAATCATGCCTTCTCATGGCCTGACTTTTCAACACCCAACATGCAGGCCTACTCATACTCATATTTACTCATGCTGGGACTCCTTCATACCCAGACTTACTCATACCCAGACTCGTTCCCAGACCTGCTCATACTCAGACCTGCACATGCTCAGACCTTCTCATAGTCTGAGTTGCTCAACGCACGGACTGAGACCTACTCTTACTTAGACCTAGTCATACTCAGACTCGCAAGGGGAGCCGCCAGGGGTGTTTTCTCAGGCCCGTTCGTGGCCAGTTTGTGGCAATGTCTTAAGCGGTGTGTTGGTTTTCATGCCCAACATCCTTTGCTTTCAGATCATATTGTGAGGATGTCTCAGGCGGGGCGCTGGTTCAGATCAGATTTTGAGGATGTCTCAGGAGGGGCGCTGGTTTCAGCACCGCTAAGGGGAGCCGCCAGGGGTGTTTCCACGTGCCCGTTCGCGGCCAGTTTGTGGGGATGTCTCAGGCGGTTTGCTAGTTTTCGTGTTTGTTTTTGGACCCTGACCCCGCCGATCTGAGTGAGGGGTGCCGCCGAATTTCAGAACTGTGGCACGTCCTTGTGAGGGGTGCCAATTTTTACCCACCCCAGCAATTCAGAGGACTCGCTCAGGGCGTGGTAAGAATACCCGTTTTGAGCCTCCCCCCTCGCGCGGTCCATCAACAAGGAACAGTAAGCAGCAAGAAGCAGAACTGTAACAGCGGAAACTGGAAGCTGCAACTGGTGACGGGAAGCGCGCCAAGACTCGAAGAGTCGCGCGATGGACGTCTGTTTGCCCAGAGGGATGACGGGAAGCGCGCTTAGACTCGAAGAGTCGCGCGATGGACGTCTGTTTGCCCAGAGGGATTTATTTATCAGGGGGAGGTCTGGAGGGGGAACGTGCGGCGCCGCCTCGTTGTCAGGGGCCTGGCGGATGACGGGAAGCGCGCTTAGACTCGAAGAGTCGCGCGATGGACGTTGCTCACGGGCCTGGATGGGAATCTTTTATCAAGTGGGGGGGTCCAGGGGGGGAGTGGTGGCGGGATCGCCCTCGGATTCCGAGGGGGCGGATGACGGGAAGCGCGCTCAGACTCGAAGAGTCGCGCGATGGACGTTTTTATCCTTATTATCCGTATTATCATTATTCTCGTTAATATGATTCAAATCGTTATTTATACAATTAGTTATGGACTTATTAATAGTAGTATACGTATTAGTATGTTTCCTATTATGTTTCTTATTGTTAGTTTCCCTCCGCTTCGTACTACGTAGTTGTAAAATGTTCCCTATTCTTCGTATTAGTGGTAGGGATATGCATAGTAGTCCTTTTCTTTCCAATAATATCAGCATACGTATGAGTGTTCTTCTTGTTATCAGTATTAATGTGCTTCTCCCCAATCTGATTATTATTATTCTTATGCTTAGTACTATTCTTCTTACAAGAAGAATAATACGAACAGTATTCTTAATAAAAATACTATCAATAATATTCAGAAGAGGAATGTGAACGGCCATAATAACACTAATCATATTATTACTAATTGTATTTAGAATATTAACGATATGAAGAAGAACAAGACGAATCTCAATATTAATGATAATCAAAATACGGCTAATAGTTCTAGCCATACCAATACTAGCAATAATACTAATACTAACAATAAGAGCGATACTAGTGATATTTTTAATTCATATTAATACTATTACTTATCATAACGATACTAATGCTATCAATAACAATAATACGAACACGTATGAATGAGACGAATAAGAGGAGGAGGACGAGGAGGAGGAGGAGGAGGAGGAGGAGGAGGTGGAGGAGGAGGAGGAGAAGGAGGAGGAGGAGGGGGAGGAGGAGGTGGAGGAGGAGGAGGCGGCGCGGCCACGCGGCGCTGCTGGGCGCGCCGGCTGGGCGCCTGCTGACGGGGTTGGCGCGGCGCGCGAGCGACCGCGGTCGTGGCGAGGCAGAGGCGGCTGCGGATGGGGCGCGCATTGGCCGCGGCACGCGGCCCGGCGGGCAGCCTGGCGCGGCTGGGCGGCGGCTGGGTGGCCGCCTGGCGGCGGCGGCGGCAGCGGGGCGCGGCGCCAGCGCGGCGCAGGGGGCAGCCCAGCGCTGTTGCTGCGGAAGCGCCGGTGGCCACCCCCAATCCGTGAAACCCTTGCAAATTTGTATAACGAATGTGCGCGGCGCTAAGGCGAGAGCCACATTTTGAAAACGGGCCGCCCCCAATCTCTAAATTGTTGCCTCTTTGAAAACGAATGTGCGCGGCGCCGAGTCGAGAGCCACAATTTGAAAATGACCCGCCCTCAATCTTTGAAACTGTTACCAGCTTTTAAGCTTTTGAGTCATTATTGGTGAGGAAGTCTCAGGCGAAACGCCCAGCCCGCCCCAAAAACTGGCTTCGGGGTGCGACAGGGAAAAGCTATTTAGAAGGAAAAGGAATGGAGGCGGAGGAGGGGGATGATGATGATGATGATGATGATGATGATGAGGAGGAGGAGGAGGAAGAGGAATGATAATAATAGTAAGAGTAATACGAATAATAATAATACGAATAATAATAAGAAGAAGCATAATAATAACAATAAAAAGAATGAGAAGAAGACGAATACGACTAATCATAATAAGAAAAATAATAATACTAAGAAGAATAAGACGAATAATGCGAATCATAATAGTAATATGAATAATAAAAATAAGAATACGAATAAGACTAAGAATCACAATTAGACGAACCATAATAATAATGATAATAATAATGCTAGCAATACTAATAAGGAAAAGAATAACAATACGAATAATAAGAATAATATCAATAATAAGAATCAGAACAATAAGAATACTAATAAGAATACGAACAATATTAGCAATACTAATACTAATACTAATACTCATAATAATAATAATAATAGTATTAATAATTCAACTAATAGTACGAATAATAATAGTAGTAGTAGTAATAATAATACTAATACAAAATATTAGTAGTAGTAATGATAATAATACTAATACTAATAATACTACTAATAACAATATTTAAAATAATTATGTCATTAATCATAAGAATAGTAAAACTAATAAGAATACCAAGAAGAATACTAATACTAATACTACTACTACTACTAATAATAATAATAATAATAATAATAATAATGATAAGAAGAAGAGGAGGAGGAGGAGGAGGAGGAGGGGAGGAGGAGGAGGAGGAGGAGAGGAGGAGGAGGAGGCGTTGGAGGAGGAGGAGGAGGAGGAGGACGAGGAGGTAAAGGAGGAACAATAGCTCGCGGACAGCCTTCCGGCGCCGGCAGTGGCGGAGGCGGCGGCGCCCGCGAGGCACCGCGGCAGGCGCGCAGCCTGCACGCGGGGCCCCACCGCGGAGGCGAGCGCCCTCAGCGCCCCCGGCGGGCGGGGACCGGCGGCACGCGAGGAGGACGCGAGGAGAAGGAGGAGGAGGAGGAGGAGGAGGAGGAGGAGGAGGAGGAGGAGGAGGAGGAAGGGAACCAGTGTAAACCCAAGAGCCATCAACGATGTTGGAATAAGCCCTCCCTTCAAGGTCCTTCTTCATAGGACCCTACGACGGCTCATTTCCACTGAAGGAATTGCCTCGTTGGAGGACAACCGTTTGAAGACCCTGGGTACTGCCAAAACAATATTCTCGGGACTCCAACGCCACGGATCAACCTGACTGTTGCGTCATGACGATCTGGAATCGTACCAAAACGCGATCTTTGGGAATTCAGCACCACGAATCAATGGAACTGTGTTGCCCTCACAATTCTGAATCTTTCCAGAAGGTCATTTCGGGTGTGCTGATCACGGGAATCCGTGAAACTCTTGCATCTTTTGAAAGCAAATGTGCGCGGCGCCAAGGCGAGAACCCCATTTTGAAAATGAGCCGCCCTGAATCCGTGACACGTCTTCAATTTTTTCAACGAACGTACGCGGCGCTGAGGCGAAAAACACGTTTTGAAAACGACCCGCCCTCAATCCGTGAAGCTCTTGCAAAAATTCTTGACGCTTCGCGTATCCCCACCAGCAGCGTCGTTAACTATCTGCAGTTTCGTGCGCTGTGCCCCAGCCTCGTTCACACCGCCCTCTGGACTTCTCCTTGCGGGCCGCGAATCAAAAAGTATCCCCACCAGCGGTCGGCACTCCACCTGCGGGTCCGGCCAGGTTTCCGTCTGCCCATCCGTGGCCGCCCTCTTCTGCTGGCATCCGCCCAGCGGCTTTTGCTTGGGTCTGCGTGCCTTTGGCAGGGTTTCGGGTTGGCCTGTGCTCGATGGTTGCCCAATTGTGGCCGCCCCTCTTCCTAATTTGTTTGCAGGTGCACTTCGTGCGTTCTCGCGCCAATTATTTGTCGCTGTGCCCCAGCTTCGGTCGTACCGCCCTCTGGACTTTTCCTTGCGGGCCGCAAACAAAAAAAACGTATCCCCACCAACCCATCCAGAAACGACGCCCAGGCGAGTAGAGGTGATCATGGAAGCGGGGCAACATACAGAGGAACAAGGGGCTGGGGAGGCCGTCGTACCCCAAGGGGGGGAGGGATGGAGGACGTGTCGGAGGCGGAAGAGGAGGATGATGAGGGTGGGGGGGGAGGAATGAGGAGGAGGAGGAATAGGCGGATTCTGATGTTGATGTTGATATTGATGATGCTGATGATGACGATGATGGTGGTGGTCTTGACGATGGTTATGGTGATGGTGATGATGATGATGGTGGTGGTGGTGATGATGATGGGGGAGGAGGAGGAGGATAAGGGCGATCAAAACAGTCAAAGGCCTCTTGAATGCCTCGCGGAGTCTCTTGGGATGTCTCTTGGGATACTCTTTAAGGTCTCTTGGGGCGTCTTGGGGGCCTCTTGGCGGTCCCGGGAGCTTCTTGGACCGTCTTGGGTGCATCGTGGTCGCCTCTTGGGGCCTCGTGGGCGCCTCATGGGGCCCTCTTGGGGCGCTCTTGGGAGCCTTGGGGGCGCTTTTGGGGCCATCTTGGAGGGAGTCGATCAAACAAAAGGGGGGGTTCAATTAGCCTCCCCCCTCGGGAGCCTCCAAAATCGGCCAAAACCGTAGTAAAACCGATGATTTTGGCTTCCTATCTTGGGGCCAACAGAGCCGTCCGACACCTCGCGGCCCGCCCCGTCCAGGTCCAGGGGGGGGGGTAGGGGGAGGGGTAAACCCCTCCCCAAGGGGGAAGAGGGAAGGGTGGAAGAGGATCTGCTCTAGACCACCTACGCCCAGAGGGCTGGTGGGATTGTATAAACGAAGGTGCGCGGCGCTGAGGCGAGAGCCACATTTTGAACACTTTTCGCTTTTGATCAGTGAAACTCATGCGTATTTTGAAAACGAATGTTCGCGGCGCCGAATCGAGAGCCACATTTTGAAAACCACCCGCCCTCAAACCGTGAAGCTGCTGCCACTTTTTACATGGAATGTTGCGGCGCCAAGGCGAGAACCACATTTTGAAAACGATCAGCCCCCAATCCGTGGAACTCTTGCAATGTTTGAAAACGAATGTGCGCGGCGCTAGGGCGAGAGCCACTTTTTAAGCTCCAGGGTCTTAAGCGGTGAGGAAGTCTCTCAGGCGAAACGTCCGGCCCGCCCTGGAAACAAGCCTCGGGGTGCCACAGGGAGAAGTTAGTTAAGGAATTGAGCAGCATGAGGAGGAGGAGGACGAGGAGGAAAAGGAGGAGGAGGAGGAGGAGGAGGAGGAGGAGGAGGAGGAGGAGGAGGAGGAGGAGTGCCGAAACCATTTTGGTTCAAAGGGGCCTGTTCCTCAAGTGCCCAATGTCGCTCAAATGCGCACGACAAGCGTGCCAGCCTTTTCGGCGCGCCGTTTCTCGAGCTCCGCGGCGGATGTCCCGCGCGTCGAGCCATGAGGCGGGGCTGCTGTTTTGCGCGAGTCGTGGGTGCAAGCGGAACCCTGTTCTACTGGTGGTGCTACCATTGCAAAGCTACCCCCCCTAAGCTCGACCACGAGCCTCCCAATGGTCCTCGTGGACTGTGGGGTGGTGAGGAAAGGGCTGGCTGAGGTGGAGGCGTTGGATATGGTTGGCGAGGTGGGCGTGGGCGGGGGGGAGGTCGTGTCATCCCCCCCCGACGCCGAGATGCGCTGCAGCTCGATGAGGTTCCACGGTCAGGAGAGGCCCGCAGCAATCTGTGCAAATTGTACCAGGCGTGCCAGATCAAGTCGAATCCGTTCCCCCCCGAGGCTGCGAAGGCCACTGCACGGGACACCCGCAAACATGCAAAATATGACAATGTACCCCCAGTGAGAAGTTGCAAAAACGCGAGCAGGACGTCGCGCGTCGTGGCCGGAAGCTTGAACGCATGCAACAGCAAAGGCAAGGGGGCCTTCGTTGCATCGAAGAGTTTCAGGGGTTGGGGGAACTGGATGATTCGATCCACAGGGCGACGGGCGATTTGGAAGAGGCGACGACAGCGGCGGCCTTGGCGGACAACGGCGGGGGCGCTGTGCCAGAGGGCGCCATCGACGCCGTGCGCGGCCTCTTGCAGTTATTCGGCCCCTGGTCCTTCGGCGCCTGGGCGAGCGGGCGCGCGTCCGGATCCGGGCTCAGTTCTTCCGAGTTGAGCAACTCTTCTAGCCTCCCCCACTCCTGGCCCCGCCAGCGCCCGAAGCAGCCCGTGTCCCAGTCCAGATGGGCGGGCGGGGAGGCGCAGTCAGCGATGCAGGCTGGGGGCCGCGGGGGGTGGGCGCGATTAACAGGGCCGGGTGGCGGAGATGCAATGCAGGTGGGCGAGGGGGGCTCTTGCAGTGGTTTCGCGAAGCCGGCGTGTCGGACTGCCTCGAGCGGGGCCCCGTCGAGTCGTTTCGGAGCAGCCTTGCCGAGAAAACCATTGCCAGCGCCCCATGGCCAGGAGTTGGGGCAGCAGGATCTGCAGCCGCAGTTCGTGAAATGGGGGGGCCAGTGCCGCCGCCCAGGAGGGGCCCTCCGGGGGCGCGATGACTCGCGTCCAAGGAAGCAGAGAATTGTTACGTACAGTGGTGATTTTTGGGCCTTCGTTGAAAAGCTTCTCGCGGGGGCGTCGGCCGAGGTTTCCCCGATTCAGGAGCATGGGCAGACAGTGGGCTTGCTGGCCGTCCGCAAGAGTAGGTTCTCCGATGCAGGATGGAGGGTGTTCTGGTTGGGGCCTGGGTTTCTGGGCCAGTCGAATGCCCGATGGGGGTCGCGCGCCCTGATTGAGGGCTGCTTAGATGCGCGGAGCTGTTCCGTAGATGGGCGCCTTTTGTAGCGCGTCGTGTTGCGCGCCATTGCCTCGGAGTCTCTGGGCGGGCGCGGTCAGCGCGTATTCGGTGCATCTTCAGGGCGGCGTGAAGATGGTAGGTGTCAGCCTCCATATCCTCCTGCAGCTGGGGGGGCATGTCGTGGAATCAGGTGTGCCCTGCATGGCCGGGGGCGGTTTGAATGTCGCGCCGGGCGAGTTGGGGGGCGCGCTGCAACTCGACGTCCTTTGCGAGGCGTGCCTTTTTAACCCCGTGGCGCCATCTCGCGTGTGCGATGGGGGTGCTTTCCGCGTCTTGAGCTTGCCGTTAGATCCTCTTGCGCCCGATGCTCTCGTGGATGATTCGAACCCTGTAGTTCCAGAGCCCCGTCGGCCAGTGCGCCTTGCCGTGAAGAAGGCAGTCAAGAATGTGCAGGTGCAGGTGATCACGCGACGCGCGCGCCTTCTGGTCTCTCCTGTTGGGGCCCTGCAGAGAGCCGTCGAGCTATTGTGGGATTCGCCAGTAGTTGGGCGACTTTATGCGCTGGCGTGCTCGCGGAGGGCGCGCGCGCACTGGGGCGCGGGGGGCAGGGGGGGTGGCGTATTTTTGGCGAGATGCACGCTGCTTGGGCGCGCGAGGCCCAGGGCGAGCTAGTCGACGTCGCTCGGGCCCCCCCCGTCCCGCGTGGGCGTAGCTGGGGGGGGCGATCTGGGGACGTCTGGCCACCGCGTAATCTCGTCGCTAATGGCCGGGCGCGGCTGCCCGCCGGATGAGGGGCTGCTTGCGGGGGCGTGGGCGTTGCGTCGGGGGCGGGCCGCGGAGGCGCCGTGCGTTGAATTTTGCTGTTGGCTTTTGCGGGCGACCATCTCGATCGGCCGGAAAGGTGGCCCTCTTCGCAGACGCTTGGGATCCCAGGGGCCTGCCTGGCATTTTCTGTTGGAATTTCTCGTTGGGCGAATCTGCGAGCGGGGCTGCTCCCGCGGTGCGAACCTGCCGGGTAATCTTGATTATTTGACCCAGTCTGTCGAGGTTGTTGAGAGGGCCCGGATGGGCCGCGCCCGTCGCCAGAGGACCGAGGACTGGAATCAGTGGCGCGAACAGACCCTGGGGCGGGGCCCGCGTGTGAGACGGGGGCGCGCGCGAGGAAGGGCGGTTCTGTCG